AAAAAAAAAAAAAAAGATTCTCTCTCTCTCCCTCTTTCCCTCTCCTCGGCTAGCACACTCTCTCAAAAAGAAAAAAAGCAAAAAGAAAAAATTTGCCCCAGAGGGCATAAATAAGCTGAACTGATAGAATTAGGTCCATAATGGTGAAATTTGGAGGATTCTAGTTGGTTGTGAAAGAAGGTGTTTTGTACAGGGAACTTCCCTCTCCATCCCTCTTGTGCATCTCTTCATATTTTCCTGAGGAATCACCCAGATTGCTTGTGCACCAGTGAGAGTCAGAGGCTGGTCCCTTCATTAGGTGCAGGATTACACCTACAGAGTGAGGTTGCACAGGGTGCTTGGGGATCCAGTCCCCAGTGCAGGTAACTAGCTCTCCTTCCTGATCATGGCCCAGGAATAAGGGAGCAGGGCAGGAGATGGGACCTCCCACGGAGGAAGACAAGTTTTCATCTCTAGTAAATGCCATTAAGGTTTTTTCAGTTTACAGTGGTCCCTGGACTAGAGGTGGGATATTCTGTAAGTGCTGATGTGGCTTTTGGTTGTATCTCAAACCTTAAGTGAGACGATGGGATCAATCAGCCTGAAAGATTCTTCACAAAAGATCATTTGGTGTAGGCCCAGGTCCTCTGGCTGGTTAAAGAATACAGGTTGGTTGTTCTTCTTACACTGTCATATTCCCCCAACATTTTATGAAAATTTTCAAAAATACAGCAACATTAGAAGTATTTTACAGGAAACATCTATGTACCTACATTTAGATCCTACCATCACTATACTTGGTTTATCATGTGCACATCTATTCATTCATCGTGTGTCTTCATTTTCTGATGCATCTCAAAGTAAACTGCAGACATTAGTACACTTCCGCCTATGACTTCATCACTAATATTGTGATGAAGCACAACAATTTTGAGGAAGCACAGAGTAACAATTTCATGTCTTAAACTTTAGAAAACTTGCTGCAAAAAAATTTCTGATGACTTCTGATTGTTTTAGAATTGATAGTAAGCTTAGAAAATAATATGGGTTTTTTTTTGTTTTTTTTGTTGTTTTTTTTTTTTTTTCATTTTCATTGCTGTTCCTCTTGTAGTTTTATTTTCTGGTCTTTCAAGTTTTGTTCAAGGGCAGAGTTCACAGAAAGTAGGGCTCAGAAATACTTTTGGTATCACATTAGGGTTGGATTTCCAACCTTGAGGAAAAAACATAACCTGTCGTTCTGACTTTTCCTTTGGGGAAATGTGTTTTAAAAGTCCAATTACTTATGTATTTTTCTTAATCCAGTGAGTAAATCATTCATTAGTCAAAGTAATGATTAAAGGTTAAATGATGATTAAAGGTTACTATCCTAATATCCTTTCATTGGGGAACTTTAACGTTGGACTATGTCATATAGATACAAGACCTATAGAAATTGTGTGACAAGAAAAAGATGATCCTAGAGCATCTTTCTGTTACCAAATTTATCAAATTTAAAATATCCAGTAGTCCATGCCTTTTCGCTTTAGCTCAGTGGCTCTGAAAACATCAGGAGGATCACCCAGGGCACTTGTTAAAGATACCCATTCTCTCCCGTCTCCCTGAAATTCTGAATCCTAGGCTAGGTGGACCCAGGAATCTTAATCACGCGTCCTAGGTGATTCCAATACACATCATCAAAGGACAACACTTGGGGAAAGACTGCTTTAAAATTACTTATGTAAAATTGTCTCTGATAAGTGGGACTTAATGTAACCACACTGACCTTAATGTCTCATTTTGGTTTCCTTAAGTGCTGTAACAGTGGCTCTCTTAACAGATGGCGGTGAATGCCAGCAGTATACCCGAGCAAATACGGTCCCTTTCTGTGCAGGATCCTCAGGTATGTTTCTCCACCAGTCCTTTATGTTTGAGGTGATTTGTAGACCTGTTTTTAGAAAAACCAACATTTTAGGAAGATAGACAGTTTCGGGGTAATCCATCAGAACCGGAGGCTTGTAAACTCTCTCTTTTTTTAATAAGTATGGAGAAGAGAGTACTGTTACTATTGACCATGGTTTTCAGGACCCCCAACCTTTAAATGATAGGTTCAAGAGCAAGGATTGATTACCAGACTGCTTCTGAAATTGTTGGTACTGTGTGAAATAAGATAAGGAAAGAAAATGACTCCCCATTCGGTTAGACTTTAGCTATAAAACAGTATAATTAATTGATACTTTTTTTTTGGCTTCTGGTTGGATTTTTATAACCTGTTTTCATAATTCTTTTATCATTGAATTTTATGGGCCAATTTATCTCTACAACTTGCCTTGTAAAAATGGAAGTCCACTGACTGTAAAATGCATTTATACTAAAAGTTACATGACGGAAAACATGCGCCGTGAGTCGTGTTGGGTGCTGAGCAGTGCAGGGGTGGGAACATGGACACAGAAGCAGAGTGCAGACCCCCATTCTGGTTTCACTGTATAATTAGTAAGCAAGCCCTTTTGCTTTCAAAGTCATTATACTATCAAGCATCATCAGCCTTAGGATCACAACTTTGTCCCCCAAATCTGCACATCCCTTGATAAATTCATTTTTATCCTACCTGATGTGTGTTTTATGAAAACAGCTGTATACTGAGGAGAGAATAATGGAATTTCATGGTTGCAGGAAGCCTGTTTTGAAGTCAGACAGCTAGTCCTTGGCCCTTATTTTATAGCCAAAGAAGCATAGGCTTGCAGAAGTTGGCTCACGTGAGGTCATATAACTGGTTAGAGGCAGAGACAGGATTCAGTTTAGGTCTTTTTACTCCATATCAGGCAACTCAGTAAAACACCTTGAGATAAACTTCAGGGACTGGTTGAATGATAAAAGGCAAGTGAGGAATAGTAATTTGTCAGGAAGTGAATAGAATAAGGGAAACAGGAAAGGGGATTAGGATAACTGATATTATGTAACACGTAGTTGATGAGTTGTTTTCATATATTTGTTCTTCCAGCAAACTTTTGAGACCGGTATTATCCCCATTTTGTAAGTGGGAAAATAGGTTCAGGGAATGACTTGCTCATGATTGCATGTCTGGTCAGTGGCAGAGGCAAGTCTTGATCCAAAATCTCTATTTTTCTACTCCCAACAAGAAGGTCTGCTCATTTCTAAGGATTTGTAGGAGTCAGGAGGAGCTATGGAGTAGAGGCATTTGTGGTTGATGATTTATATTTATGGAAATCAGTTCTAGGTGAGAAACGCAGGGAAGATAAACAGTGACCTAATCTACTGGATTCCACTTTCCTTTGCATCCTGAGGTTTAAGGTGCCCAACCTTTGTGTTGGGACTAAATCCCAATGGATGTAGTCAGTCAGTGGCTCAGGTTGCAAGATGCTCCTTTAAGATGGCCGACCCTTCTTCCTTGGACTTGCTGCAGCTTATACCAATTGTTCATAGGACCCATGCTACCATTGAGGTTTTCTGTTTGAAAACAGATCTGTTTGGATCTCCAGTTGTGTTGGGAATTAGGCATCATTCCAACCTTCATATAGGGGTATTATTGTGGCCAAATGGGACCTGCCCTCTGTAAAGACCTAGTTTCAAAATTTCCAGAAAGGGTCATGTGAATCAAGGGATATCACGATTGTTTTTCCAAGTTGATAACAGTGTTTGCGGTTTTGTCTTTAAAGGGGCTACCCAATGCTAGCGAAGACTACAGAGAAGCTTCTTGTGCTGTGAACCTCGTTTTAAGATTAAGGTAAATAATATTGTTTATTTTGTATTGCTCTTCCTATAGTATAATATTCTTATCTCCTTCATTAACTTTTCATAATATTAACATAAAATAAAATTGTTAACTTACTTGATTTCTGCAAACAGCCAGTGTATGCTGTATTCCCAGGACTAATGGGTCTTTTTCTAATTGCTTACTAAAGAGAAAGAAAGCACCATATGAGTGTGTCTGCAGGCTCAGTGTACCCTTCATTAAGTTGTTTTTTTTTCCCCCCTTGCCTTTTCTTTCTTGGGCTTTTTTTCCTTTAAAAATTTTTTTTTACAATGTAAGATCACAGTAAGAGATTTTTAATGAGTTTCTTTCACACTTCAGCAGTCAGTCTCTGACAGAAATAAACCGTGCTTGTACTACAAGTTGCCTGTTCAGAACATTTTTCAGTGGCAGGTTTGATCAGCTACTGTGGAGAAATGACAGATGTATTTTGAAAGAACCCTCCGTCTTCTAGGAAATGGATACAAATATGGTGTCTGACAGTGTAGACTTTGTATCTAGTGAATGAAAAGTTCTTTCTGCGTCATGGATTTTTAAATATTGAGGTACGTCGTAAGGTGTATATTCTTCGTTAAGAATGTGTCTTAAAACATATTTGCTTCCACTTAATTATAGTAAACAGCTTAATTTACCAAGTCAGTGAGATTACGGTCACATTTTTTAAGGTGTTTTAAAGTAAGTTACACATAGGTTCTCCCTTGACAATTAAACAAATAAAGCACATGGCTGATGGACCATTTTCAGAGCTGTGGCTATAAAAAGCCGATTTGTTTTCAAGGTTAGTTTCCAGCCCTCTGAGTTATCTTAGACTGTCAGGGTAGATAATCATCACCATAATCACCCCGTGCTTGTGCTGGTCATTTACAATCTGTGGTGTGTTTTCACACACTTAACCAGGGGGACTGCACACTAAGGCTTGGTGTGATTTAATTCAGAGATGATTTCTGGTCAAGAAGTGAAGCTATTACAAGACTATTTTCCTTCTATTTGAAAGTGTCCTTGATCATGGTTCACAATTAAAATATATTTATTGCTCTCCAAAGAATGAAATAGCCCATTCCTTTTTTATTTGACTTTGGAACCAGGTACTGCTTTCATCTATTTTTCACTTGTTCGTTTATTTTTATTCATTCCACTGATACTTGCGGTACAACCACTGTGCCAGGCTCCTTGTTGATTCCTGAGATACGGTCGTGAGTGAGACTGTGGAGGTTACCATCCAGCCCACTTGAGTGTGCGGTGTTGGGGGTGACCTTCAGAGTGCGGTGGTCCAGTCTCCTACTTTACGTACGCAGGAACGTTCTCTTTAGTGGTGCACTAGATATTTAGTTAGCTTCTGTGCATACTTTGACTCTTTTTCCATGGACCACTCCTACGATACTAAAATGCTTTGTTATGGTTCAATCTTCTTCCCTGAGATTCAGCTGATCTTCCTATTCTGGGCTTCCTATTCTGGGCTCAAATTCTGGCCCTTAGAGCAGATATCAGGTTCTCTGGATGAAAGTCTCCTGGAGAGTGTTTTAAAATGCATACATATTCCTAAGCCTTACCTCCAGATACAGTTTTGCTCTGGGTACTAGAACGATATAGAACAAGGGCATTCCCTTGTTTTTTTGAGAGCCATTTGTGTTTTTACAAGGCTTGTTCCTTTTTCCTAGGCAAAACAGTCCAAGTAACCTTGCGTCTCATAATATGGTTTTATATCCTCCTTACAATTCTGGCCGTTCACCTTTATTAACATTTAGCCTGTATCTGCTTTTGTTACCTTTTTCCTCATGGCTCTGGGTGGTTTTTTCCCCGAGTTTGTGGGTTAGATCCCAATCCTTCATGATCTTAATGAAGAAAGGGTGCTACATTCAAATAAGCTGAGAAACAATGCTTAGTGTCCATCTGTCTATGTACGTATTTCTCCTAAATCAGCCTACATTTTCATTGCTTTTTGAAATAGCTGTGCACTTGGGGCGCCTGGGTGGCGCAGTCGGTTAAGCGTCCGACTTCAGCCAGGTCACGATCTCGCGGTCCGTGAGTTCGAGCCCCGCGTCAGGCTCTGGGCTGATGGCTCGGAGCCTGGAGCCTGTTTCCAATTCTGTGTCTCCCTCTCTCTCTGCCCCTCCCCCGTTCATGCTCTGTCTCTCTCTGTCCCAAAAATAAATAAAAAAAACATTGAAAAAAAAAAAATGAAACAGCTGTGCACTTTGGTGACAGATACAGCATGACCTAACAGCCAAACAAAAGCTCTGATTTTGTGTTTCCCTCTTGGAAGGCTGTCAAGCCTAATTGGAACTGCAACTTGTGTTTTCAAATTCATTTTGTACGTCTTAACATTTGTCACTATTAATCATGAACCTGTTGGCTTTGACCCATTGCTTGCCTCCCCTCCGCCATACATTTCACTCATGATTGTCAGTGTGTCATATTAGTTATAATGTTTGGATACATGTCATTTGCCAATCGGATAAACCTGTTTTTACAGCTTTATCCATGACATTGATTTTACATGTTCAACAGTTCGAATAGAACAGTCTTCTGGCATCTGTTAGAAACCACTCATTTTCTACATGGCTTTCAATAATTGACTAGTATTTTTTGGTATAGGTGCTCAACCAGAAACAAATCGTATTGACTTTACTGCTTTTTAGTGGACATTCAGCTGTCTGCTCAGAGGGATATCATAAAAGGATTCGTTTAAAAATGTTACTGAAATTAAGACCTATCAATGATATTTTTCTGAATCTAATCACCTAGAAATACTTCCAAAAAATAGAAATGGATTGTGTTTTATTATTTTAGAAATGAATTTTAGTATGACTTTTGTTGAATATATGTTCATGCCTAGTGGTATACATTATTTTTCTAAATGTGTTCAAAGTATTTGTTTACACCAGTTTTTTTCATATTTGAGAACTCATGAATCTCTCAAAATATACAGTTGGTCTCCTCTCAGGGCAGTCCCTGTACTTTGAGAAATAACCTTTTAAAGTTAAAAGTTAAATGCTATTAAGTTTCTGTGGTCACCCTGTGCTGCCATAAATGTAAGCAGCGAATATATTCATTCATTCTGTAAGTATTTCTTGAGCACCTGCTCTGCGCATGGCCCTGTTTGAGTTGCTGTGATACAACGGGGGAATGAAACAAAAGACAAATTTCTTGCCCCCTAGGAACTTACATTCTACAGACAGGGAGGAAGTGTTCAAATACTCATATTACTTACACGATGTCAAGTTCTCTGAAGGGTAATCTCCATCAGGAGTATAGAAAGTATGGGGGTGCTATCCCATAGTAAGGAAGGCATACGAGTTTTCTACTACTGTGTAGCAGGTTACCACAAATTTAGTGACTTAAAACAACACCCATTTGTTATCTCAGTTTTGGTAGGTCAGAAGTCTGGCACAGCTCAGACGGGCTTTCTGGTGTGTCTCACAAGGCGGCAGTTAAGTTGTTCTCAGCTGGAGCTCGAGGTCGTCTTCCAACTAATTTGGGTGTTGGCAGAATTCAGTTCCTGACAGTCATGGACTGAGGTCCTTGGCCTCTGTACAGGCTCCCCATTCCACACACAGTTTACAGTACGACTTTGCCTTTTTCAAAGGCAAAAAGAAACCATCTCTCCTCCCCTTCAAGAGCTCAGTCCCTTTGTGAGAGGTTTTTCACCTGATTAAGCCCGTCCCATCTAAGTTAATGCCCCTTTAGATGAAGTCAGAATCAACTGCTTTGGAGCTACATCTGCAAATCCCTTTACCTTTGCTCTATCACGTAACTTAATCATGGGAATGACAGCCCATCATATTTAAAGGGCTTGGTCATATCCATTGAAGAGGATTATGTAGGGCATGTATACCAGGGGACAGCGATATTGGAAAGTGTCATAGAACTCTGCCTACCACAGAAGGGCTCTCTAAATAAAGTAGTGTTTGAAGATACACCTGACAGATGTAAAGAATCAAGCCATGAGATTGTTTGCAGGAAGAGAGTTCCAGGCAGAGCAAACAGTGATTGCTAAGATTCTGAGCAGGAAGCATGTTATAAGCGATTATAAAAACAGCCAGGGAAACAGTGTGGCCAGAGGGGTAGGGGAGCAGGCCAGATGATGATTCAGGGGCTGAATCATGTAGGGCCACGTAGCCTGTGGTGAAGACTTTGGACTTTACTGTTATTGGGTGGGAAATCATTGGAGATTTGTGAGCATATCTGAGTTATATTTTATTTTATTTTTATTTTGTTTCTAATGTTGGTTTATTTTTGAGAGAGAGTAGAGGAGGGGCAGAGAGAGAGGGAGATAGAGGATCTGAAGCAGGCTCTGCTGTCAGTGGAGAGCCCGATGTCGGATTCAAACTCATGAACTGTGAGATCATGATCTGAGCTGAAGTTGGACACTAAACCAACAGAGCCACGCAGGTGCCCCTGAGTTACATTTTAAAGCAAGCACTGTGATTGAATTATGGAGAATAGACCATACAGACACTATTTTTAGGGTGGAAGTGGAGAGCCCATTGATAGGCCATGTCAACGATGTAAACAGTGATGATGTGAGTGAGGAGTAATGGAGGTGGCAAGTAATTATTGAATTCTGGAGAGAGAGGAGAGAATGCAAAGATTACTCGAAGTTTGGGCATGAAAATATGGATAAATGGAGGGAAAGAGAGTTGGAGTTGCAGGTTTGAGTGGAATCAAGAATTCAGTTCCAGAAGTACTGAGTTTGAGTTGTCTAGTGGACATCTTTATGTGATGTCAACATAAAGATAATGGGCTAGCGATAATAATTAATTTGAGAATATTGGCACATACAGTATTTAAAGCTGTGAAATTGGATGAGATCACCTAGGGAGTGGGTAAAGATAGAGAAGTCATCTGGCATGCCCTCAAGTGGTACTTGGGTAAGGAGCAGTCAGCAGATTGGTAAGGACAGGCTGGTGCAGTGGAGGAGAGAATGGTGGTCCTGTAAACCAAACAGAGGAAACGGCTCAGGAAAGAATGGG